CACACATGCTCTGCATGACTGTACCACTGAGCTATATCCCTAGCCCATTACAGGAGGCTCTGTAGAGTAAAAAACAAAAAAACAAAAAATATTTATCCTATTTACAATGATTAGTAGGGCTGGCAATTTAGCTCAGCGGTTCGGTGGCCTGCCTTGCAAGTGCAAGGACCCAAGTTCAATCCCCGGTACCAAAAACAAACACAAACAAACAAACAAACAAACAAACAAAAAGATTTGTAAATTGATAGAAAGAAAACAGACAAAGCAAGTGACTCCAGTCAGGTTAGAAGTGTTCAAATCACTAGGCTCATGTACTTCTTGGAATGAGTGTCTGACTCCAAAAATAAAGTTTCACGGTGAATTGAAAGCAGCATTTTATTGAAGCTAGATGTTTAGATAAAGCACTGATGGGTAAATGATGAGGACAAGAGGCAGAGGATTTTTTTTTACTATTTATGCTGAACTATTTTATAGAGATTTCTTTTAAAGGCAAAATTGAGTAGGAGTAAAGAATGAACAGGAAAACACAATTTATCATTAAGATTGTGGCTGTCCAGATACTGTACTACAGCTATTGTCAAGGCTTGGCTACCCTCTAGTGGCCACTGATCATAATTGCAGGCAAAATGCCTGAGTATAGGGGAGTAAGTCAGCAAAGTTGGAGGTCACCGAATAACAGTGAGGACACATGGCAACGGGGGTGTGTGTGCAACAAGAGATGAGGGCCGTAGTATGGATGCTGCCACAGGATGAGTTTTCAGCCCGTTTTCCTGGTGAATCTTAACAGAGGCCCCAAGGAGCTCAGTCAGTAAGAGGCAGGTGTCCAGTCAAAGCCAAACAGCTGCAGGTGAAGGGAAGAAAGCAAGGCAAAGGAGAACCCTTGAGTGTCAACAAGGGGAGTGGGGCAGAGCTGGCCAACGTGCTGTCTCTGTCAGCCTCCACTCACAGTGGCTACTCAGGACTTGAAACTGGGGTTAGAACGGCTAAGAAGTTGAGTTTTAGAGTTACTTGATTTTAATTAATTTACATCTAGCCACATGTGGCAAGTGGTCACCATATTGGACAGAGCAAGACTGAAAGAAGCAAAAAGGAGTACGCTTCTCTTCAGTCAAGTTTAACGAGTGGCAGGGAGTACAAAGTACTACACAACTGAGCACTGTTCTGTTTATTTTCTGAGGAAGAAACAAAATAAAAGAAGCCAGAGCCCCTCGTTTCAAGAAGCTGACATCAAATAGGTGGATAGGTAGAGGACCCTCCTGCATACTCACACCTGCAAACCATCTGTGGGAGGAGAATCCCTAATTCATGGGACACAGTTTTACTTTGAGCAACTCTCTTCAACAGGTGGCTTTAGTAATAAGTTTGGTACTATTAGAACTGCCCTAGAGACAGGATCTTCCGAAGTAAAGCAATGCTGTCTTTTGAGTTATGAGATAAAGCAAGGTTGGCTTACCAGGTCTAGGAATGAGCAAGTGGAAGAGACCTAGTATAAAGTTCAAATTTCAAAGGAATAAGGTGGCCTGCAGACCTTGGGGTAGTAAAATTTTGTTGTTACTTCTTCTGACCCGGGTCTCCCTTTCATGTGAGAATGTGCTGGACAGAACAAATGGATTTCGAGTGTGTTAGGTTAAGAGAGAGATTTGCAAAGCTAGTCTCCGATCTAGGGCTATTTTCCTTCTGCCTGGAATCACTGGCGAGAAATGGAATATGTAGGAGCAGAGAAAGCCAAGTGACCAGGGATAGAGATCTTGAGAAAATGGGAAGGTGCGATGAGGGTAAATGGTCTAATTTTTTGGCTTCAGTTTTCCAGTTCTAAAGTGAAATATTAACAATAATAAGAATTTATATTTGGCCAGGAGTAGGGGCACACACTTCTAATTTCAGCTACCCAGAAGGCTGAGGCAGGGGCATTCACAAGTTTAGGCCAGCCTGGGCAATCTAGTCAGACCCTGTCTCAAAATAAAAATTTTTAAAGAGCTGAGAAGGTACCCAAGGGGTGCAGCACTTGCTTAGCATGTGCAAGGGTTCAATCCCCAGTACTGCAAAACAAAATAAAATCCTGCAAATAATTTATTAGGGAAGGCGGCTCAGAGGTCTTATTATTTTTAAAGGCCTGGGGTGTAGCTCAAGGTAACCGTGCCTGCCTGGCAAGCATGAGGTCCTGAGTTTGATCCCTGGTACTAAAAAAAAAAAAAAGATATCTATACCTATATTTTTTAAAAAAGATTAACTATTATAGTGGTCCTTCCATTTAAGCTCTGTAGTATCTTTCTGAGAATCATCAAAGGATGGAAAAATGAGCAGAAGAGGGAGTATGGAATGACTCCTCGATGCCAAGAGCTGCAAGAAGCATCTATACTTCCATTATAGGACAGTGCTGCACCACATAATGATGTTCTGGTCACCAATGGACGCACCTAAGTCAGTATATACCATCCAGCCTAGGCGTGCAGCGGGCTGCACCATCTGGGCTGTGCACATTCACTTTGATGCTCCCAGAGACACTACTGTCTAGCAATGAATTTCTCAGAACTTATTCCCCTTACTAAGTGATAAATGAGTGTATTTCTCAACTGGTATTTAGTTTTAGGGCAATACACACACAAAGTGCTTTTCCTATTTTCAAGGCTTAGTTTCTGAGGAGCTAAATCTGCATCCCAGGAAAGGTACCAAAACTAACAGTTTAAACCCTAATTACCTGTGCTCTTGGCTCTGGATGTGGCCTCAGGAAGTGATCTGTACAGAGATGGCCATTTAAAATTCACCTGGGAAACGAGTTAAAAATAGAGATCCATGGGCTCATTGCCTGAGATTTTGATTCAGCACATCTGAGAATCTATTAAGATTTAAAAAAACAAAAAACAAAGCTTCCCAGGTGGTTGGGGCTTGAAAGCCAGATTTGGACCTACTGGTGAGTCATTATCTTCTAATGCTACTTCGTGCAATCTACTGTTGCTATGGAAACCACTGGGGCACACCCCATCAGTCTGACTGAATTTTTTGGATTTCACTACCTTTTTTTTTTTTAATGGTACAAATCTGTTTCAAAAGTAAATGGCATTATTTTTGGAACAGAAGATTTTTTTTTCCTCTCCAGATAATTAGAAAAAACAAAGTTCCCACAAAGCAGAAAATTTTCTCATCTGAAACCAAATTCAACAGACAACAGTGTCCTTGCTATTTCAGCCCAACTGGAAGGATGAATGAGCTGTTATTTCCTGAGGCAACGTTTAGACTGTGTAGCTTCCTCTGGGTTGGGAATGTTTTAAAGTGTCTGGCTGGAGAAGTCTTGGGCCCATGGGCTTCCCCAGGAGGGTAGAGGGGCAGGCAGTAAAAGGCTAGAATGATATCAAGGCTCTGGAGGCTCCAGCTTGAGGCTGTTCTGGAAGAGGCCCACCCTGCTCAAGTGACTGGGAGACTGAACTTCCCGAGTGCACTGTGCTGAGCAGCCAGGTGACCCACAGTGCACCACCGCATTTAAAGTCTGACTCAACTGAAGAAGCAGTACTCATTTCCTTCAGGCTTCAGAGACAGTGAAAATAGGGTAGAGAGAAGGACAGAGAGCCAGTTTCTGTAGCTTTATGTTGTAAGGCTGGCCCTATAAATTTAGAATGTAACGATCTATCCTTTTCTTTCAACTTAAAAATAAGAGCATACAATGGTTGACCTGGAAATGGAAGGTTCTTGGGATTCACTGCTCTTTGTAAATCCTGATAGATCTCCTCAGGATACCACAGTGGAATTTCCCTTCCAAAGATGCTCTCTGGGGTCTGGCACTTTGCCAGCAACTACTACACCAAGGTGGACAGGGGCCTGCAGACATCTACTGTGTTGAGCAGTGGACACTTCACTATGGTTCTCTGTGGCAGAAGGAGCTGGTGCTTGTATGAAACAGAATCATTCCCTTGTTCTCTCCCCCTCTCTCACAATCTTTACCTACAGCACTCTCCAGCTTCAAGAAGTGATGCTTTTGAGACAACCACTCAGCCCTGTGTGAGGAGTCCTTCTCGACATGCTCCTGCATGCAACCCCAAAGCAGGGCACAGGAACACAGGTTGGTCCCCTGACCCAGTTGGCTCTCAGTACCCTCCATCTCATCACCCACTCCAAGCCCATGGAGCACCCAGGCCTGTATCGATCATCATCTTCCAAACTCTTCCCCAGTGCTACACTTCTATCCCCAATCCCTGGCATCACCACCCATGACTTAGCACGTGGCCAATAAGCCTGACCACCCAATTAGCATGTCTTCCCGGGTAACTTCTTCCACTGTCGGCTCACTGCAGACCACCACCCCACATCTGGATTTCTGGGAGGAGGTTGGCACTAGGGAATGCTAGAGCAATCTGCTGGATCTATTGCAGAGGAAATGTTTGACCAGTTTAGTTCAGGCCCGAGGATATAAGGAGAAACTGACAATGGCAAAGAGAGTATGATGTGAGAAGAAGCTAAGAACAAACACAGAGGACTTCTGAAAAGAGCTGGATGGAAAGAAGAAGGAATCACTGCCATAATATCCCAAAGACCAACTGGTTTATTTCAAACCTCCTCCACTGCCCTTACTATTGCTGCACAAACTATCCTCCTCCATGTCGGAACTGCTTAACTTACTCTGGGTCCCTGGGTTCTTCTGGATCTGCTTGGCCATAAAAGTGTGCTGTCTATCCATTCACTCAGGTGACCTTTCCACTTGTTCATTTTGAATTTAGGTGATTCTCCTGGCGCACTGTGGGAAACTGCAGAGAGACGCCCCCTGCTTCTCTGTCTCTCGGACCTGTACTCCAAGCAGCTTAGAAGGTTTTAGTGTGGGGCTCACAAGGCAGCTACAGGGGCTATGTGAACCTCTTGGTGCATACATCATGAGAGAGAGAGACGAGAGAGAGAGACACAGAGAGAGACTGGCCCCTACCTTGAGCCATGTGAACTACACAGGTGACAAGCAGGGTGCACTGAAGGGGAGACACCCACACAGACGTGGAAGTCAGGGCCTGGCCCAGTACCTTGGAAGCAGCCATCACAGCCGCTGTAGCTGCCACGTTCAAGCCCCGCTTCCCGAAGTGCACAAGGGCATCATAACTCCGGTCTTTCGCTTGGACCAGGCAATCATCAATTTCCTGTCAAAGGAACAGCAAAGGGACACTGAGTTGGCAGGTTCAAATACATCTGTATTCCCTTTCCCTTCTCCTGAGCGCCGCCCGTGGCAGCTGGCCTAATCTGATTTTTCACTGGACGTGAAAAGTCCTAGACACTTGGAGTATGTGTGTAGACAGGTGGGTGGAGAAAGGCAAGAGATATGAGGGGTAGCTTCCGTGGGGAGGGACAGTCCTGCCATTCTATACACAGTTCCTCTGTAAGACACGGAAAGAACCTAGGGCTGAGAGAAACATCAAGAATTGAGCTTCTGTCCTCAGGCCTGTCACAAACTGGCTGTCATACCTTGGCACTCTTGGCCCTCTACACAGTTTTATCTTCCAGATAAGGAGGATAATTATAATACTAACTTGCTGCAGATGGTGAGGATTAACTGAGGTAAATCCAGGAAGACACATCACACAATGGCTTATTTCAGTTAATGATAACCATTGCCATTTTCCTTGTCTTCAAGGACTGGGACCCTTGCCGTTCTAAAGTTTAGTTATTCTACAGTTTTAATTTAATTCTATAACCAAATATTGCCTTATATATACATCAATGGGAGGAATTAGGACACAGAAAGAAATGGGTGTTTTGTTGATAAAAGAGATCATTTTATAGATACTGAAATAAAATTAGAAGTCACCCTGTATCATACAAGGTAAAAGTGGGGGGGGGAGATTGAGGTCTCCCTCTGGGGCCAAAATATTGCCTTAGTTCAATATTGGATCATATCTGATACACTCTGTGTGTTTGGGGTTGTTTTGTTGTCATTTTAAGAAAATAGCTGTTTCACAGTTACAGTCGATCATTTCAGAGTCTAATGATGGAGGCACTCAGCCTCCATCTTGTCTGAGAGTCATTTCACAGGTACACTTCCTGTGCTTTGAGGAGTGTAAGGTTCCCTGTGCAAGGCCTCTCAGGGAAGTTGCAGCAGGAAGCCCTCTAATGGGGCCCTCTGACTCCGGAAGTGATTCCTGGCAGCTCTCAAGAGGGATCACCTCCACTTCAGTGGAAGTTACAGGGAAGGCTTCAGGGGAGGCCCGCACTGAGGACAAGGGAGGGAAGAAGAGCAGAATTTGATAACTAGGTCAAGACAGATATCTATCCTCTAATTCCATCCTCTGAGGCAGAGAGAACTGTGAGTCAGGTTCCTAAATGGACTTTCAGAAATGTCTCCAACAGCCTGTTCCTCTAACTGCTTTGCTCACCGAAGCCTTCCCCTCAAGGAAGCCCAAAGCATTTAACTTTCAGAAACTATAGAAATTAATATAACAAGTCACCTATAGCACTCTCCTTTTTGGGGGGTACAAAGCATCAAACTCAGTTACTTGCTCTTGCCAGGAAGGCACTGTACTACTGAGCTACATTCCTGGAGCTAGCGCTCTCTTTTTATTTTGAAGAATTTTGTTATACAATCAGAATAGAAAATAATGAAATTAATGAATTATAAATGTAGGAATCATTTGACACAATAATTGTACTTTTGGAAATTTATTCTAAGATAATTAAAGGAAGAGGCTGGGGATTTAGCTCAGTGGTTCTGTTGCCTGCCTCGGAAGTGCAAGGATCCAAGTTCAATCCCTGGTACCCCAAAAAAGAAGAAAAAAAAATAATTAAAGGAAGAAACCAAACTCCATGCAGGTCAAGTCTGCTGCAGAATTGCCTACAACAGAAAAAAATGTAGGTAATTATAATAGCAGTAAGGCCTCTATGGCCTTTAATTTAGGCAATTTTGAAGACCAAGTAGAAGGGACTGTGTGCAAACATCTTTAAGATCTCAAAATACAAATTTTTATTTATTTTTCAGCCTTTTTGATTTATGTCGTTTTCTTTTCTTTTTCTTCCTTCCTTCCTTTCTTTTTTTTTTGAGACAGGGTCTTACTCTTCAGTTCAGGCTGGGAATCCTCCTGCCTCACCCTTCTGAGTGCTGGGGTTATAGGCATTCACCACCACACCTAGCTATGTCAAGTTTTAAAAACATTCCTTTAAAAAATATCCTATGTAGTCGGGCTTGGAGGTACATATCTGTAATTCCAGCACGCACAGGCTGCTGAGGCAGGAGGATCATGAATTCAGGGCCATCCTAGGCTACATAGTGAGTGTGAGGCCAGCCTGGCTACACAGCAAAACCCTGTCTCCAAAAAGAAATACATAAATACATATTAAAAATATTTTATGTAAAAATTTAAGTGATCTATATGTAAAATTCATTTCTACAAAAGGACAGGGACTAAGGATGACAAAAGGAAAGGAAATCCAGTTTGAGAAATTAAATGGTGAGTGAATTTTTTCTTTTGTTTCAATTATATAAATATTTTAAAATAAATAATAACAGACATATTTTAGACCATTTCACCGCTATTTCTAAAAAAAAAAATGATGTCCAAAAAAATATAGTTAAAAGTGGCTGATGGCCAGACATGATGCCAGCTATTGGGAAGGCTAAGACAGGAAGACTGCAAGTTCAAGTTAGTGAGACTTTGTCTCAAAATGAAAAAAGGACTGGGGATGCAGCTCAGCACTCCTTAGGTTCAATCCTCAGTGCCACAACGAAACAAAGGGATATAGTTCTGCTGCCTGCCTCGCAAGTGCAAAGGCCCAAGTTCGATTCCTGGCACCAAAAACAAAACAAAACAAGCAAAAACAAAGGGATATATTTCGGTAACAGAATGCCCATAGCATGTGTGAGCCCTGGGGGTGGGGGCCGGGGAGAAAAAACAGAAAAAGTTAGCAGCAACAACTTGCTGAGATAATAAAAACCAAGCAAAAGGTCTCCTGTGATACAACAATCTTTTTTATTTATCAATTTTTTTATCTTTCACTTTCTGTGAGTGATGAAAGGTAAAGCAACATAAATTACCTTTTCTTTTGAAGACAGCGTGGGGTGTACAAACTTCCTGTACAGGAGGCTGGAGCCTTTTGTGTAGGGAGATAGCAGCCAGGCTACAAAAGCTATTTTTAGTTCATAATAGAATGGAAACCTGGAGAGATAAGAAAATAAATGTCCCATTAGCTTCTTAGCAACACTGCCCTGGGTCCATGAAGGACAAGACCTGGGCATGGCGTGGACACCTCTCCAGCCCACATCCCACTGCAGGGCTGCTAGCATCCTCCTCTGTCCAGCAGGGGAAGGTGTACATGCATACAGGTGCACGCGCACATCACAACCGTGGCCTCTCCCTGAAAGCCAGCTCAAGTTTTCTTCTGTTGCCTAAGCGACCAGGAATGGAGGCTCACTCCATCCATCACCCTGTGGCCCTGGCAGCAGCTGGCAGGTCCAGCAGGCCAGTCTCACTAAGGTTGGCATACGGCTCCAGCTGCAACCTACAGGAAGACCAGGTCCATGCTTGCCACCCCATTGTTCAGCCCTTCCCTGTGGCCAGAAGCACAAACACTCAGAGCAGTAACACAGGGCAGGCCAGACATCTCTGGTCTGAGAGTAAAAGCCACCCATTCTTGGCTGTCTTTTCGGCACACATAGAGATAGAGACATAAGACCAACTCTTGCCCAAAAGGAAAATGTTCTTCACCCTACTCAAGTCAATGCCAGGCAAATACATCTGGATCTTTTTGCTGTCGAAAGAAAGAAGAGCTTGGGGTGTAGGTAACATCCAATTCTGAAGTCCTGTGCACACTTGAGTCCATTCATTCATTTGTGCCACAAGCATTCATCCAGCACCTCTATGTGCCAGCTTGTGGTGCTGGGCAGATAACGGTGAGCCAGGAAGACCAGCTCCTCCTCCTCCTTGGAGTGTCCAGAAAGAGACAAGATTCTGACATCCCTGAACCTAGAAGTCCAGCCAGAGAAACAAAGAATGATACAATAATCACACCCAGGGCCGGCGATTTAGCTCAGTGGCACCACGCCTCCCTCACAAGCTCAAGGTCCTGAGAACAATCCCCAGGACCAGGAAAACAAAAACAAAAACAAAAACAAAGAATCACACCCAACTAGAACAGCGAGCACAGTGCCAGAGTGCACCTCTACTGGTGCACAGAGTACCTTTGTGCATATTTGAAAGTCAGCCCCTCCAACTAAATGCTGTTTTATGGGCACAAGCCTTGTCAAGCAGAACTTGGTCTGGATTCCAAACCCACTCACCTCCTCAGCCAGATAAGCCAATTCTTAGAGATAGCAAAGAGCTCACCTGCAAGCCCAGGCTTCCCACACAAACCTACCAGTCTGAGCCGACACTCCAGCCATCTTCTCTACTGGGACCTCACACCCTAGGCCACCATCCACTTGCTCCAGTCACCCTGGACCAGGACCTGACAGCCACAGACAGCCCTATATCCCAGAGCACTCAAAATTACTCTAACCAGTAAACTCCAAGCCTGTTTACCCTGCCTTGCCCATTCTTTCCTGTGGAAATCACAATAAAGCTTTTGGCTCATTTCCTTCCTCTGCCTTCTGACCCTCCCTGGGGCTTCCCTGAGGTCCTGCATGCTCTGGCAGCTGCTTCTGGTTTCTAGGAATCTGCAAATATAACAAATCTTTTTTTTTTCCTTCCTTCCTTCTTTCCCCCTCCCTCTATCTCTTCCCTTCCCTTTCTTCTCCTCCCCTTCCCTCTCTTTCTTTCTCTTTCTTTTCTTTCTTTCAGCAGTCTCACTATATAGTTCAGGCTGGCTCTGAACTCACTATGTAAACTGCACTGATCCTCCTGCCTCAGCCTCGCAGGCACTGAGATTACAGGCATCGATCACAACCTCTGGCTTAATAACTTACTTCTTGATAGGCATTTCCATGACTGCAATCCTTTCCACACCTGATTCAAACAAATCCTGGGCATCCTTAAAACACAATGCTTTGAGAAAAAAGGTCACCTGTGCGTGTCTGAAAAATCAGAACAGTTAATCCTCCCCCAAACAAGGAGGCACAAATGAAAAGGAGCAATTTCTAGCAAGTCAATTCCAGACCCTTTAGTGCTCACACAGACCCTTGAATCAGCAGCTCTGCCCACTCCTCCTTCCCTCAGGAAGGTCTCAGCTCCTTGGTTTTCTGCCTCTGCACAGACTCATCCTGAGCAGTCCCTCAGCAACCAGGGGGCAAGACTGTTTAGTGTTTCATAGTCAGAAAAGAGAGGGGCTGAAAGAAGGAGGTGTGATTCTCCCACAGGGAGACACTCTGGTGATTAATAATGGAGGAACTTTCGTTTAGAAAACAAGTATTTGCCAGTCCTGAGCGGAAAGCAGATGAATCTGGCAAGCTCAGAAACCAGCACAAGACACACCAACGATCCCAAGGGTATCTGTCACATTGCAGCTCTTTTATTTATTATGGAAAAGATTTTTTTTTTAAATAGGTCAAGTGTGAGCATAGTTTTAAAAGATGCATACATACAGCAGAGTCTCCTTCCCACTCCTGACCTTTGGTCCCTTTTCTAAAAGCATAAACATTATCAGTTGCTGGTGCACCCTTCTAGAATGGACTGGAGGCAAGCACGTACAATAATCTAGATGCTTACAACTCCCTCAACTGCCCTCCAGAGACAGCTGCATTCGATACACCCCCTCCAATCCCTTGTCTCCTTCCAGCACACACAGTCCAGTGTACCTTGAGGACTGTCTCACACCAGCACACAGAGAAGCTACCTCCTCTCTTACTGGCTGCTTGTGGGTGTGCAGGCATCTCCCCACATCCATGAATATTCACGAGGGCGACTTTAGCAATTAGGCTGAGCTGCAAATGAACCTTCTAGTGTGTTTCTCTACACATGTGTGCAAATGTGTTTGCAGAACAAATGCCCTGGGAGTAGAATTTCTGTGTGCACTTTAAATATGGACAGAGGCGGCAACTCCATGCAAACATGAATAAGAGACCCTGATTCCTCAGTGCACACCACTGTAAGAGCCTCTGCCCTGGGCCCTGATCCTCTAGATCACCCAGCCCTGCTTCTTCTCTGGCCAGTCTGCTACAGACCATCCCCTTCCCCGAGTTACTTTCAGTTTATCCCATCCAGGCTGACAGGAAAAACCTTCCTGCCTGCCAATCTTCTGGGTAATTTCTCCAGCCACATCGTATCAGATGCACAGAGCAGCTGCGGTGAAAAATTCAAGAGGGCAGAGTTTTTTTGGAGTGACCAGCGGGCCTGGCCATCGGGTGCCATCCCAAGTAGCTCTAGACTAGATGAGAGTGCTGCTCCCTGTTTCCATGTTCACCCTGGACTATGGAGCTCACGCCGAAGTCATTTGGGTGAGGGATGTCAACTGGCTATAGAAGAATCACAGCAGAATCGATTTGTTCCTTGGTGGTGTGATGGTTGACTGATTGTGTCAATTTGAGAAACTGGTTAAGAGAAGCTTAACTAAATGGGTTCCACAATTCCATGCCCTAGGGTGTGGAGAAACCCTCTTCCTCAGCTGGACGGTATAAAGAGGAAAGATAGATCTGCTTCTGTTCCTACGGAGGAGCTCCAGTCTTTACCTTGGCCCTGTATGTCATCTCCTGGCTTTCAGCACAGATCTTTCAGCAAAGTAGACTCTTAAGCCTTCTATCACAGACCCACTGGACACCTGATATGTACTTGCACAGGATGCTGCAGAAAGCTTCAGACCTTTGACTAAATGTTTGGTGTATCCAGTGTATTATCCCACTCTGTGGTTGGCCATTTTAAGCCAATCTTGTAAATTCACATGTATTTATATATCTTGTGTCGTATCGTGGAAAGGTCGCATAACTATCCAGAGCATTAAAAAAAAAAAAAAAAGCCATCAGAGCCTGCTAGTTCCTAGCCTTTCTAGAATTTTGGTTTAAAAAAGCTTTTTCTCCCCACTAGTATGAGGGATTGTACCCACACTTTTCACACTGAGCTGTATCTCCAGCCCTTTTCCAGTTTAGTTTTGAGGAGTGTTATGGTTCATATCTGGATGTCTCCCCAAAGCTTTAGGCACTCAGGTTTTTGGAAGGTAACTGAATTATGGGGGTGATAAAGCTGATGTGGTGTTAGGAGGTGGGGGTCTGGTCAGAAGAGGTGGGTTACTGAGGTTGTGACCTGGAAAGTTTCCCTCCCTTCCTGGCTCCTTCCTTCATGCTCTGTGCTTCCTGGTTGCCATAAGGTGAGCCGTTTTCCTCCCCCAGACCCTTCAACCACACCACTTCTGCACGGAGCCAGCTGACCATGCAAGGACTGAGACTTCTAATACTGAACCCAAATAAACCTCTCCTTATTTAGGCTGCAAGTGTTGGGTATTTTGTTCCAGCAACAAGGAAAGTGAGTAAGGCAGACAGTCTTGCTTAATTCCTCGGGCCAGGCTTGAACTTGTAACCTTCCTGCCTCGTCCGCACACAGATAAGATTACAGATGAGCACACTGTCTGGCAAAAATAGATCCCCTTTGAATGTTTTTTGGTAGCAAAATCAGAACCTCGTACCATTAACAATCACTATGTTTTCTTACTATTTCTTTCCTTCTGCTTTCTTTCTTTCTCACTTGCTTACTCTTAGATACTTGGCTTACTGATCTATTTGTTGTTTACTGATTAAGGAATTCATTCTGCTGGTAAATCCTACAGAAGAACTATAGATTAAAATGTACGTGCGGCGTAGTACAGGGATACCCAAGCTGGGTTAGATATATCCTTGCCCTTACAGATGTGTCACCTAGTAGGAGAGCTAGACAAACAGGTAACCCCACCAACAGTGCTGCACACTACACAAGGGACACATCAACAAAGTCCTACGGGGTGCAGGGTGAGAGGGCTTTACTTCTACCTCAGTTTCTTTTGGCTGCTTATCAACATCAACTTCAGGGTCTTCTTTACCATTTACCTGGTGTCACCTTAACCTCTATAGGCCCACATTGAGCCTCTCTGGTGGGTGAAGGCCCTGGTCCTCTGCAGAGACAAATGAGGAAACGGTCTTCAGACTGAGAAGTTCCTGGTGACTGCATACTGGGTTTGTGGGCCAAGAGAAGTTCCCCCGATAGCCAGTTCCTCTTGGGGAGTGATGTAAATAACTCTGGTAGCTGCTGTTGAGGTCTCAAACCTAAGCTCGGTGGAAACATCCTCACCTTTGTGGTGTGGAAAGAAGAGAGCTCTTGGCTACATGGGAGGAAAAGGTCTACAATGCAGCCAGGGAAGGAGCGGAGGATGTAAAGAAGGGAGAGGAAAGGAGGACATGAACGTAGCACCTGAGTAACAGGAATGCCATTGTTCAGTCACCAGCAGGGAAGAAGAGAGGACAAGAGGAGATGGGGACAGGAGGAAAGATGAGGTGCAGGAAGAGAGACGGATGCACTCTAGCACCTGCAACTCACTGCCATTGGAAATAGCCTGGGTGAGTTTCTTCCCACTGCTGCTGAGAGGTGCGGCTCTGACAGGTGCTCTGCGCCTATGCAGAACCAGCTATAAACACCTGAGTACAAGACAGCTCCCGGGCCACACTCTCTGGAAGCTTCTCCCTGTCTCCTTCTTCCCTCCTAGATACAAATGGGCAGGCCTTGCTGACCCTGTTTATACTATGTGGTCTCTAGATCACAGCTAAGGAGTAAGTGCTGCCAAGGAAGTATCAAGTAGTAAGTACTAAGCAATTTCTACATTACAAATTTGCAATTGGTAGGCCTACAACTTCAGCATAAACAGTATTGAGGGGTCATCTGGCAGTGAGCAGAAGCAGAGTCCTTAAGCTTCAGTGAGAGGGGGCCCTGAAGTGCCCTGCTACTCCCCTTCTAGAGTTTAATGTTTTAGCTTTTTTTTTCACTCTGAGTTACTCCAACTATCTCCCAACAAAGCCCCACTGCTTTCTCTTCCTTAAGTTAATCAGAGGTAGTGTCTATTGTTTGCTAGAAAGGATCCAGGAGCCCCAATAACCTATGACCCACAGGCCAAACCCAGCAAGTCACTTGTTTTTATAAATAAAGTTTTATTAGAGCACTGCCATTCATGTATTGTCTATGGCTGTTTTCATGTTGCAGTAGCAGATTAGCTTGCAACAAAGATTTATGGTCCTGAGAGCTTAAAGTAGTTATCACTTGGGTCTTGAAAGTATGCTGATGCTTGGTTTAAAGCTATTTCCTCCACTTAAAGCCCCCCAAATCTCTCTGAAGTGTATGGTGGGGAGGGAAAGTCCTGTGTCTAAGAAGACCAAGCCCTTGCCAGGGGTTCCAAGATCCTCTAAGGTGTTCAGATTCATGTTTCCTAGAGTTCTTGGGGTCCCTTGGTTTTGCCAACACAACTGCCACCAATGAAGTTTGCTTCCAGCACACCTAACCATCCTCGCCTTCACCTAAGAGGTAGAGGAGGGCCCTACTCATTCCAGAGTAAGGTGCCCTTGAAGAACCATGACCTCTAGGAATTTCCTATGGGAAAATGTCCCATATTTCCTCCATAGCTTCCCAGGAACATGCACAGCACCGAGGGACACCATGAAGTTGTGTGTCCCTATCCTGACAATATAACACCACAACATTCTGGAGAGGTGCCTGACTTTTAAGAGAGTTGGTCACAGGATGGAACTGTCCACAATAAATACAAGTAATGTGTATAGAACATTGCTAGAAGAAAACATAAGAAACTTTTCAGAGTGGTACCTGTAGCAATGGGAAGGGAATTGTGGGTCTGGGGGAAAGGATTATTTTTAGTGGTACTGGGGATTGAGCCCAGATCCTCACAAAGCATATACTCTACCACTGAGCTACCCCAGCCCCTAGACTGACTGTTAGTACATTGTTTCACTTGTATTTTGCACATGTATTATTTTGTATTTTTTAAATGTCATTTAAATAAAATCACCTTCCTAAATTACAAAACAAGTCACAATCCTATCTATCCTATGGCCATATTTAATCACCTTTTCCATCAGGGTAGAATGTTTTTAAAAATCAACCATGAAGAGGGAAGTGACCTACATAAGGGGTGAAAAGTAGGAAACAGGGATGAATGAAGAGTTGGGGCTGAGGCAGGCAGGGAAGGTTCCTCGAGAGTCACCGTCCCGGTAGAGGAGGCCAAGCTCAGGCCTGCAGGAGAAGGGCAAGGAGCACTTACTTCCCCCAGAAACACCTTTCCACCTCCGGCTAAGGGGACCAGCTAAGAAAGCTGCAAGGTGTCCATGTGAGGGGTTAGGAAGACTGGGGAATTCCACCCATACTTGAAGAACAATGTTTACAGACTAATTTATGAGAAATACTTCAAAGGACATCCCTGCACCTGCTGAGGTAGGGTGTGGGGCTTCAGCCCTTCCCCTCCTCTCCCGTCACAGTAGGCCAAGTAATCTTGCAAATGGCCCAATTGCTGGAGTACTTACCAGCAAAGGAAGATGTCTGTGAATGTCTCCGCTGTGGTGAAAAGTGCAAATATAATCCAGTACATCATCCATTTGACCTGTTGAAGGAGAAAGCACAGAGCTAGTCAAGGACAACAGGCTGTTCAACATCAAGCAGAACAGACCCAGACAGCAGATGCCGAAGTAGGTCCAGGCTGCCACCTACATGTGCAACTCTCTCTCTCTACACTTTCCCACACCTGGGAGCTGGCAGCAAATGGGCTGCTCCACAAATGATCGGGATCAAGGTCAAATCAGACCCTGGATGGCCTTCTACAGCCCTAATGTGAGCAAGGGAGACCTGCAGCCCAAGAGTGACACAGGATTGTCAGGTCATTTTTCTAGAATTAACATCAGATGAGTAAATGCTCCACGCCTCCACACAGACACACCTTGGGATGACCTTTCACTAGGCCAGACTCTCTGGGATGGAATGGCAGTCCATTTCACAGTCACTTATGAATCGTTTCTTGGGGAAAACCCCCAGGGATACAGGGAGGAGCTAAATCTTTCATTAAATTTCTCCTATGTGACCCTCCTCTTCCATTCCATTGCCTCTCTCTTCCATGTGCCATCTCTCTTGAGCTACTGCAATGATCTCCTAATTGTTTCCTTTCTCCTGGTTTTTGCCTCACCAACCTATCTCATAGATCAGTGATGGCAAACATTTAGAGCTTTCAATGATACAAACAGGCTGCTGTAGCACACATACCATAGGTTCACCACCACTGCTATAGGTCATTCCCATTCTACTCTCCCTAAAGTATGAACTCATCAGACTACTATTTACCCATTTAAAATCTTCCAGTATACAGAATAAAGACCAAATGTCTCAGTGTGTTCCCTCCACTTCCAGTCATGGTGGCATAGCTTGTATTGGAGTAATCCTACTGGTATAAGTCTCAAAACGTTTCAAAACAACTGTTTGAAGGGCCAGGGATTTAGCTCAGTGGTGCCACCACCTACCTTGCAAGTGCGAGGACCTGAGTTCAATCCCCAGTACCAAACAAACAACTCCCCCAAAGAAAACCACACAATTAACTGAAGTCATTAGAGAACAATGAAAAGCAGGCAGAGACCTGAAGGAATTTAACTCTTATTTGCCTAGAAAACTGGAAAATGGACTTGGACGCTTTCAGAGTTGCTGGAAGTTGAGAGGGAAAAAATTCTAGAGAGAAGGAAACTTACAGAGCAGGTCCCACCACCATCTCCTGTCTACAGTGAACTACAGCCTCATCTTGGTGCCAGATCTCTGTCCGCTTCTTAACTTGTCCTTCTTATTCCAGTCAAAATGATCTTAATTTCAAATGCGATGACTCTCTTCCCTAGCTTAATGTCTTCAATACTTTCCCTGTTATTAAGATAAAACCTAAATTCCTTAGATTGGCTTTCAAAGCCTTGTATGAGCCAACCTTTAATTATCTCCATCAAGGTGGCCTCCACATAACTTCCCTCTCCCATTTCACATAACGAACCACTTTCAATCTCCTGAACAGTCTTCTTTTGCCTCCAGATTTCAGTCCTCGGATCTCAGCCTAAATCAACATCACTTGCTCAGGAAGTACCCAAAGCTCAGGTAAGTACTGACTCCTTTTCTTCCTCTTGTAATGTCACACTTGGTCCCTGCCCTAACACCTTCCATACTGCTTTAAATATACCTGTTTATTCTTCTAGTCTTCTCACACATCATTTTATTTCTAGGACCCAGAACAGTTCCTAGCACACAGTCAGTACTGAATGAACATGCTCAGAATGACTGCATTAGAATGTGGGTATTAGGATTGGGAAGGAAAAGATGGTTCTAAAAGGGTTGAGAAGGAATACACTTTTTTTTTTGGTACTGGGATCGAACTCGGGATCTTGTTCTTGTGAGGCAGGTGGTGGAACCACTGAGTTATATCCCCTGCCCAAGGAATACACTCTTGAAATTACTGTTCAGATGGCTTTTGAGAAGAAAAGATAGTATTAGAGATAGCTTGGGAAGCAACCAATGCTCCCAAGTACCCACTGAGTGGAAGGTCGCATTGATAGGGGAAGAAAAGTTCCTGCTGAAGCCAGAGCATGAGTGACTGGTGACTATGGGGCTACTCAAAGTAAAAAGAAAGAGCCAATTTAGGCTCCCCATGAGGGCAGCCTGACAGCCAAAGGGAGCATCCAAAGAATGCCCAAACTCCCTCCAAAGGCTCAGCAGGGGGGTAGGGGCTGCAGGCACATAGCTATAGGAGCCATGGCAGACATGGAGCTTGAAACATTAGGCTAAAGACATTTCCATTATGTACTCCTTCCCTTTAAAATATTTTCTTCCTTAAAAAAAAAAAAATGGTCTGAGGATGACTCACGGAGCCTAAGAAGGTAAATGGAATACTGGTGACTTGGAGATGGAAACCATATTCATCTAAAATTACCAGGAAAAGTTCTTCATCAGCAGGCCTTAGAGAAACCAAATGACATCTATTTTTACCAAGGTTTGAAATAGAACATCCAAGTTTGAGGAATTCTATTCAAACTGCAGGATGGGGGAGAGGGAGCCTGGTGCTTTCCATGAGAATTAAGAGAGGGGAAAAAGGTGCTATGGCTGATTCGGGAGGTCATGTTCAGCAGCAGCTACAGAATGGAAAGTTGTCTGCAGCCTGGGAAGTCCCTCTGGGCTGGTCAGGGGCAGGATCCAGCAGTGAGGAAATGGGAGAAACTTCCCCCTTGGCCACAGCAGCAGTCTTCCGAGCTTAGGGTGGGAAGTAGACCTGGAGACCCTCCAGGGAGCTCAACAGCTGCTGGACTCCATTAGACCTTGCTCCCACGGCTCCTGGCAGCCAGTGAAAGGCCCCCATTATGAGCTGTGGATGTAGCAGTGTGAGCCACCCCTGCAGCCTCACTATCCTCTTGGTCTCTCCTCTAACAAGGCACACTAATATTCCTCAAGCCTTTCACATTCCTCATGCATCTGGCCCTGTTCCAGACTCACAGAGACTTCCCTGTTCCAAATGACTGAAGAAGAAAAACTCAGAGCCTGGTTCACAGATAACGGCATCAACTGCTGGCAAGAGCGCACAGTGGACAGCTGGTAATACGGTTGGGGTCGCCCTGGGAGAGCGAGGAGGAGGAGCAGACAGACTCTAAGCAGTGTGCTTAGCCTAGGAAGAGAAATGCTCTCAGGCAACACATTTACAACCGTCTCCAGGTGTATCAGCTACATTTACTTATTTTCTGTATTCTTGATGCCCTTGCATCTGAAGCCTCACAGATAGGGGACTGACACCATTCCCAGGGCTGGCTAGATCACAGAGATGGCAAGATTTTCCCCAGCCCTGCAGGAGCAGCCCATTCATATGCAAACTAGCCAGTCGGGAGACTTCAACTTCTCCTTTATGGGGCTCTCCAGGTTGAGCCAATATTCTTCCCCCACCATAATTACCCCAGCCAAGTCCCAGACAACTAGAGGCAACCAGCTGTTAGAGGAGGGCAGAGCCTGCTGAAATTATCCAATGAGTAAATCCCAAATCTGCCTGCCGCCTGCTGTTCCTTTACCTTCGCCACAGAAGCCTCAATGCAGTCTGTTGCCCACAGCCCTCAGCCCCATGTTCTGCCTTCTGGCTGGCTCTGGTGTTTCCCAAGTGGCCCTACTTCTAAGGAGCTGTGGGCACAAACATCTTCTGTGTCATTTTTGAGTCTGTGCCTTACTACTCCTGAGTAAAACAAACCCCAGGTACATTTAAAAACACCAGGCAAAGGTCGGATAAATGCTGAGGTTTGAGCAAGGGACAAGGCCGAGCCTGGTGTGGAGGTGGTGTGGGAATAATGCCAGTGGGCCCAGAGAATGAAGCTATTTGTGGCCCATGCTTATGCTTGCCAAAAGGTCTCACAGCAGAGGAGGCTCACAGTAGCCAGGCGGATGAGACACCCAGGCCTGTGGATGTCAGCCAGCCTCTTTCTTCAGACTTAACAGCTCACGTTTAATTGGTTCATGCACCAAGTGGCTACCTGTAACTGGCAGAGACAGCATAAGGGCTCAGCAAGGTGGAATCCCTCTTACCAATGCTGACCTGGCCCTGACCACTGCTCAGAGACCATGCTGACAGCAGCAGCAGTCAACCCTGTTTAAGGCGGACCAGAACTCAAGGTAGCAGCCAGCTTCCTAGCACCAGGCCCCTTCTCTAACAGATGGCTCTTCTCTGGACTATTGATTGTTCTGCATATGGACTTGCTTTTCCCACTCCCTGAATTCTTGGAGCCACAGAGCAAGCTGGGGTCTAGGGATTGCATCTCAAACAATACTGCTTCTCACCAAGGACCCTCCATTATAGTGAAAGAAATGAGATCACAGGTTGATGCTTTGGGGATATGTGCTCCATTGCTTTATATAATGCTGCCCAGCCTTGAGGAGTCAGGAAGAGAACCAGGTGGATGCAGTTTTTTCTCTGAGTCAGTACCAAAATATTGCACTGCTTCTTAGAATGCAAAAGTACAAAAATGAAGGAAATTAAGGATAATGCCAGCTCTTTGACACTCAGAATATGGTCCATGGACCCGCTCCATGGATATCACCTGGAACGTGTTAAAAATGCAGAATTTCCAGCCCCATCCCAGATCTACTGGATCAGAATCAGCATTTTAATGAGATCCCATTAATATGCACGTTATAGTTTGAGAATCACTGGTCTAACACAACATTCCTGCTTCTCATTTCCAAGTCTCTGCTCTCTACTTTGTAATGATTTTTAGAACCTTACTGATAGATGATTCTGCCAGAGGATATAAAATATTTCAATGAAACGGAAGCAGAGACCTTACTGTGCATGGCCATTTCTAGGACACAGACAATAAAGGGACATATGTGCTTTGAAAGGGTGAATGATTCTAATTATGAAGGGAACTCAAATTACTGCTACCCAAGGCAGCAAGGAGGGTAGGTAGAAACTGTGGGTTACCTGAGGGGGCCTCCTGGCACTGTTGTGTTCTGAGGTAGAAGTCAACAGATAAGTACTACAACCCTACAGAGGCAAGATTGCCAAGGCCTCCGGTTCTTAAGAATCAAGATTTGGACCACATCATTGAAGAAGGA